GGTGCCGAATCTTCTCCTCCAGGTCGCAGTTCTTTAGCCTTTCAGCTGACTCCTGTCAGTCCACTCACGCATGGTCGCATCGAGGGCGACTGGCCATTGCATCAGCTCCCCTCGGCTGGCCTCCTAGCCAGCGATGAAGATACTCTGGCCGCGTGCTGTGGCTCTAGTTCTTTGCCTGCTGGACTACAGGGTCTTTCGCCAATCTCGTCAAGCAGTCGACAAGCTGCTGCACCAGGCTTCTTTGCTGCTACTGCTGCCAATTCTCTTGCCTCTGATGGCGCGACTCACGATGCTGACTCTGATAGCCCCAATCCCGATGTTCATGAGCCCCACTGCTCTGGGGCGTTTAATTGCTGCCTCTGTCCTACATGTGGAAGCCAGACTCCTTCAGCCTCAGGACCTGCTCCTTCCATTCTACATGGCCGCCTTCCAGCCAGCCCTGACCTTTCTCCGATTTTATCCCCAATCCGACCCACCCACGAACATCCATTTGCGGAATTTCAGTCGGCGTCTTCGCAAAAACTGGGTGCCATTTTCCCAAAGACAGACCTTGGGTGGAGGACCGGACCTCATTTCCTTCCGGACTCGCATGCGGGCCAAGATAAACCTGCCATAAATGCTCAGATGGCAACTAATATTGCCACTAGTACATCACAGGAGTACGCAGTCGCCTCTACACGCCTTGCTGGTCCCTGTCTTTCACCGGACCGGGTCTTCTCTCCCGAGCCTCTCAGCCCTTCGCTTGTGGACGCTGCTAGTAATACCACGTCCCCTGACGGATGGTCTGTCCCTAATGCAGAACAAGTCTCATGTGATAGGGCAATGTCGCTTGCTACATGTTCGATTCTCACCACGGCATCTGAATGCAGTATGATGGACCAAGACTGAAATAATTGGCACTTGCTGCATACATGGGCTCTCCGTTTGGACTTGCCTCATTGTCTACTTCTAACGCATCAATGTCCTGTTCACTTTATACGTTTTTCCTAATGCATCTACTCATACCTGCTTAATTTTGCCTATTGTTAAATTGACTCCGTCATTGCTGCATTGGCTGTTGGCTGATTTAAACCTGTACCCCTCACACTTGTGAAAGATCAAATGCACATAAACTTCTTTTGGCATCCATATTTAACGATGGTTCTTGCTTTTAATTCCTATTTTGTGAAACTCTCACCGCTCAATTTTCTTAATTTCTCGCGCAGAATCTCCCCGTAGGAATTATTATCCCTATAAATAAAGTACATATCCCCTTGTCGATCAATTTCAACT